GTGGTGGGATGAGACAGCAGTCTGGCAACTGATTGCCCTCAGGGGAGGGAATGCCTGCGCATCTGACCTCCCCACACACAAATCCATTTTGTTTATTTAATATCCAACCAGGACTTGATCAAAGATCTGAAGTCTGAACTGTCAGGGAACTTTGAGAAGACCATCTTGGCTATGATGAAGACCCCGATCCTCTTTGATGTGTATGAGATAAAGGAAGCCATCAAGGTATGTATGGGGGTCTGTCTCATGTGTGTTCACAGCTGGGGACACAGGACCTAAAAAACCATGGGGCAACTGAGTTGGAGTCCAGGTTCTGTGAAAAGCTGAACTTCTAGTGATTTCCTCATGAGGCATCTAAGTCTTTACCACCATAAAATAAGTCGGGGCTTGTGCTGTCGAGGAAGTTAATGATGTACTAAGATGAGAGAAGGTGATAGAACTGAAGTTGATACCATTCTCGTTTATTAGAACACTGTCATTACCAAGTAACAGACACATTTGAGGTCCATAAGTGGCACAAAGGCAAGGAGTCCATTAAGACACAAAAATGCCCCCAACATCCAGAGGCTGATCCCAGGGCTGTGAACAGCAGAGTTCCCGAGCCTGGGTTAGCCCCACCTTCTCAGTTGCTTCTCATCTCTCTCATCGGCCATATTTGGAACAAAACACCTCTGGCTACCCATCCCAACTTGACTGTGGACCATGTCGCCATGTTGTCCATCACTGCGCCTCTAGTTGTCAGTTTGCTCATGAATAATTTCCCGTTGTTGTTCTTGTGGCTGTGATGGTTGGGAATCAGCTCAGCTGTGCTGTGGCGGGGACAAAGGAGGTGAAAGAGGTAACCTGCTGTTAATCAAAATACTGGAAATATAACCATTTAAGATTGAGTTTGTTGAAAATCTAAAATGTAATAGCCCCCTCCCTTGCTGGAAAAAAAATCCTTTTTAAACTTAATCAATCCGGATGTTCTAATTCAAGATGGAGGAGGCAAGCAGGGCCTTCGTCTAGAGAAGCGGTGGAGCTTGAGGTCTCAGGGCTAGCACCCTGGAGACATGAAGATTGTTTTCCTGTGAAGCATGCTCACATTGATTGGGCTCATCTGTCAATTATCTCCTCGGACACAAACAAAACCTGTTTGTGTCATATAGGTGCTTGACTTTTGCTGAGTCTGTGAAGCAGTTTGGAGGTAGCAAACCCCACTGTTTCCTTCTGTCTAGCATTTGCAGATAAAAGCTTAAGAGTTTCTTGAATCAACATGATCTGTCTTTGGCGGACACAGAAATAGGTATTTCTAGGCCTCGTGTTTCCCAACAACAGTAGGAGCCCGGGCAGCAGCAGCAGCCTTGCCTGTTGCTGGGTTTGGGCCTCTGTGGGATAGGGCCTTGCTGGGCATCTGCTTTCTATCCTGGCTGCTGTTAGGGGAGGCTGAAAGTCTATGATTGGTGTGTTCTCTGTTTCCGTAGGGAGCTGGCACTGATGAAGCTTGTCTGATTGAGATCCTGGCCTCCCGAAGCAATGAGCACATCCGGGAGCTGAGCAGAGCCTACAAGACAGGTGGGGCAGCCTGCAAGTCTCCCAGGGGCTGTGCTCTGCAGATCCCTCTGTCCCCTGGACTCTGGCCTTCTGGGTCCCTCTCCTTCCTATGCCCACTGTGGCCTGTCTACAGCTCCTCCCAGGGACTGCAAATAGACTTTCCCTGTATCGCCCCCATTCAGAATTCAAAAAGACCCTGGAGGAGGCCATTCGGGACGACACATCAGGGCACTTCCAGCGGCTCCTCGTCTCCCTTTCTCAGGTGCTCTCTCACCTCAGGGCTTGGGGGGCCTTGAATAACGTTAAAGAGAGTGGGAGGAGAGGTGGGCCGCTCTGAGAAGTGGACTGGGCCTGACCACGCCACCTTTGTTCTTTCAGGGAAATCGGAATGAGAGCACAAATATAGACTTGTCACTTGTCCAGAGAGATGTCCAGGTGAGTGACCACCCAGCTGGGCACCCCGCTGGGCTTTCTCATCCAGGTGGCACTGTGTTAGGCTGGTTTGGCTAGAGAAACAAATCCAGTAACACACATGTGTAAGGTAGAGCTTTATATCAAGAAGTAATTGTATATCAAGACAACATTCTAGTCCAACTCTGCTAGGCCATAAGTCCCCCTTCAGACTCACACAGTCACAAGCAATGACACAGAATGCAGGAAGATCACAGGTTGGTAGGTGCAAAGTTGTGTGGATCCAGTGTCAGTGGATGCAGCACCACTGGGCTCTGACAGCCATCAGGGTCCGTCAGCAGGACAGGGAAGGCAGACAGAAAGGGGAGGTTCCCTCCTCATGAGAAAGCCATGCCCACAAGGAGGCACCATCACACTGTGACCTGATTGACAGGCTGAATACCACCCCTACACTTTTATATATCTTCAAGTTGACATGAAGTTATGTCACTACCACAGGTACCACTGCACAAGGAAAGCTCTCTGAGGTGGAAAGGGTAGTGGATAAGGAAACGACTTGGGATGCTGTGCATGTCAGCCCTGCTCTGCTGCTTGTCAGCTGTCTGACCTTGATCACATCACCCGGGCTCTCTGGGTCTCAGTTTCCACATGTATAAGAGGAAACTTGTGAGATGCTAAATATTTTAACAGTTGGTTGAGCACATTTGCGGATGTGGGATTTCATAGGACTCAGTGGTTTTCCTGTGTTTGCTTGCATATGTCAGTGTGTTTGTGAAGGGGCAAACTTAGCATTTGCCTGGTTAAGCTTTTGATGAGGGGGAAGTCTTTATGCTCATATTCTGTCTTTCTCCAGGCTTCTGGGCTGTGCCCCTTGCTGGTGGAGTTTGGGTTTCCCACTAGTGAGTTTAGACCGCAGTATGCCAATTGGAATTAGACGCCCATGACATTGGGGTGAGATCGAGATGGGTGTACTTAGTAGCTCTACCTGCAGCAGAACTCCCCACTGATCCCCCTTGCCTAAGTGTCAGCTAGTGGTCTCGTGATCACATTGGAACATCCCCCTGTTAGGAAGAGAGGATTCTTCTCGTCCTTTTGTTCTCCTGATGAGGAAACTGAAGCTCAGAGAAGGCAGTGAGCTGCTGAGAGGTCCAGGGCCAGTTGTTAGCAGAACTAGAACTCCGACCCAGGGCTCTTATCCCATTTTCCTGCAGCGTCACTCCCTTTGATGGGTTATGGCTGTTCTTGCCTAACCTGCTTGTACCTTGGTTCTCCTGGTCCAGAGCTCTTAGAATCCTGCACCACTCCCTAAGGGGAATATGTGGAGTGGAGGGGGTCCAGTTTGGTCCAGTGAATGTCTCACAGCAGGCCTGCAACAAGCACAGCTCCCTCATCAGTGTGCTACCTCCCACCGCCTTCCCCCAGGCACGCAGGGCCAGGAGACCACCCAAGGTGCTTTCTAGATAGCCTAAAGCAGGCGGTCGGGGCAGGGACCTCACTGCATGCTTATCTTGTACTCTGTCCAGGAGCTGTATGCCGCTGGGGAGAACCGCCTGGGGACAGATGAGTCTAAGTTCAATGCAGTTCTGTGCTCCCGGAGCCGAGCACACCTTGTGGCAGGTAAGGATGTCCCAGGCTTCCCCGGGGCCAGTTAAATGAAAGTTGACAAGTTGGTGTGGGGAAGCTAACCTTACCAGGAACATGTGACCGGTTTGCTCTGCGTGGAACTGGTTTTGCCTCGGGATGCGAACTACAAAATCAGCAGCTTGCAGCCGCCAGCCACTCCGAGGGAGAAAAGAAGGCTTGCTCCTCCTGGAAAGGGTTGCCCTCTTGGAAACCACCGAGGTGGTTCTACTCTGTCCTGTAGGGTCACTCTGAGTCAGCATCAACTCGATGCAGTCAGCAAGTTTGGTTTAGGTTTTGGGTTTGCTGCCTCAAAAAATCGCAAAGAAGAGCCATATCTAGGTTTACTGAGTTTCCCTAATCATCTCCTGCAGGAAGGAAAGGGAGGGTCTTTAGAATGGAGAAGAGTACAGATAGGAGCACACGCCCCAGAGGGTGAACAGCAAATCCAGTGTGCCATAAGAAATAATTATAAGAAAAACAAGAAGGAGTGCCTGGATGATGATGCAAATGTCTAAGGTGCTCAGCTCCTAACTGAAAGGTTGGCAGTTCAAGTCCACGCAGAGGCACCTCAGAAGGCAGGCCTTTTCAGGTGTTCTCCTGAAAAATCAGCCATCGAAAACCCTCTCACATGCTTGAGAGCACTGTGAGTCTGAATTTGTGTTTGTCTGTTTACCATTTATTTATTGCTACAGTCATTTACCAACTATAAGTTGAGCTCCTTGACGGAGGGGCTGTGTTTGAGATGCTGGGGAAGCAGCTGGCTCCCACTAAGATGGGGGCAAAACTGGCCAAAGTGATAGAGAAGTGAGAGGGGCCTTGCAGGGGATGGGATTGGAGGAGAGAGGGAGATTACGCTGGAGTTGGAGCGGGCCCTGCAGGGGGTTGGGGTAGAGCCTGGTGAGCAGGCTGAGTAAGGAAGCCTGCACCTTGCTGGGGTGCAGGGTTTGGAGGGCTGGGCCAGTCTTGTCAGGCTGCTGTCCAGAGCACCGGGAGTTGAGTGGGAGAGGTAGGTTCCAGGGAGGGGCAGCCGGTGTCTTGAGCAGAGGCATCTTTACTATGTGTTGCTTCTGGTTTCCCATTAGTTTTCAATGAGTACCAGCGGATGACAGGTCGGGACATTGAGAAGAGCATCTGCCGAGAGATGTCTGGAGACCTGGAGCAAGGCATGCTGGCCGTCGGTAGGTGTTTCAGGCCTGCCTTGCCCACAGGGTCTAAGGCGGCTCACTCCATTGGGTCATACTTCTCCCAGGATCACTGTGGACTTGAGCCTCTAGCTGTCCCAGAGGCCTCCTGTTTGTATTCCATGCTCAGTTCCGAGGAAGAGAGCTTCCGTGTAGGTATCCATGGGAGAGCATCCAGCTTCTCTTCCAGAGGAGGGTGACTCAGATCCTGTCAAATTTTCTCTGAAAGTACAGCCCTGCGGGCAGTTGTCCGAGGCTAGTGATAGAAATGAGTGGAAAGATGTTTACTTGGCACAATAATGCAGGCCTACGATAGGAGAGCTGACTTAGCCCCAGCTGGAATGGTGCCCCTGCCAGTGCACATACCCGGTAAAGGCAGTGCCCGCCAGACTCCTGGGTCCTGTACCTTCTTCCACCCACAGTCCTTGCAGCCCCTCTTGATAGCCACTTGAAAGAATGGTGGTTTTCACGTTTTCACTCATTTCTTGGAGCTTTCTGAGTGAGAAACATGAAAGCCTGGTCCTCCTTTCCCTGTGTGCCCTTCATGGTGGATCATGGAGACCTTCTGGGCTGAGACCTCTAGGGAACCCCGTGTTCTGCTTAGTCCCATTCTCCACAAGAGGCGTTACATCTCGAGGGTCTCCTCCCTGCCTCAACAGCCACATGGTCTCTCCTCAACCTTTACGTTTTCTCCCTCCAACTCCAGTCATCTTTGAAATGCCCGACTCCTCTCTGGACCCTTCCTCCAGCTTGGCTGCTGGGAGAGAGGTTACCTATTTTCATTCCAAAGACCCTAGCTCATGTGATAGTGAGCTGAGCCTGGAGAGGGTCGGAGATGGACGCAGGGATGGGTTTGACACCGGAACCTCCTGACGCCCAGGACAGACGTGCTTCTGCAGATCTGATCGTGCTCTGTTTCTCTCCTCTAGTGAAATGCCTCAAGAATACCCCGGCCTTCTTTGCTGAAAGGCTGAACAAGGCCATGAGGGTATGTGCAAACACCCTGGGGCTGGCAAAAGTAGAGGCCCAGCCTGCTCGGGCTGGGATTGGGGTTAAGGACAGACAACCTTAGAGAACCACACTTTTAGCCCTGGGGCGTACAGGAGGAAACCAAAGTGTCAGGGTAGGGGCGGAGGTGTGAAAGACTATTGCTCATGCCCTCGGATGGGCTCTCTTTAGGGAGCAGGAACAAAGGACCGGACGCTGATTCGCATCATGGTGTCTCGAAGTGAGATTGACCTCCTGGACATCAGAGCAGAGTACAAGAGGATGTACGGCAAGTCGCTGTACCACGATATCTCGGTATGGGCCTCCGGGCTGCTGCTTGCCCTCTCACTCCCCCTGTGGACCTCCTGGCCATTTCACTCTCCCTCAAGTCCAAAGCTTGTCTGCCACACGATCTTGTTTTTATAAAATGTAAAATCAAGTTTACATTTGTCTTATTGCACCCAAAGAGACCTTAAGCTCTTTGAAGACAAGCTCGGTCTTGCACCCTGCTATTGACCCACCCTACCTCCTCCACAGCTCTTTGAACAGAAAGCAGGATCTTTCCACCACCTTGGTTGGTGCCTGACTTGAGAGTCCCACCACCTATGAGTCTGGGTTCCAGCGGTGGGAACTCAAGTCCTCAGGCTCAGTGATGCTACTGCTTCATGGCAGAGGTGGCAGAGGAAGGCACTTTAGATACTGGGCTCTGGAGTTGTCTCGCTTGGAATCCAGTTGTGGATTTTTTGCCAGTTGATTCGATAGTCTCCTAAACACCAGTCCCATCATCTTTTAAATGGGCACAGTAATGGTTCCCCCTCTGTGAAGATTTTGCCTCTTCCACGAGGCAGTTCCTGTAAAATATATTGCTTCATATACATGTTACTGTTAGCTTAACCTGGCCCCCAGTTATGACAATAGCAGAGGATTGGAACTGTTTACAGAATATCCCTGGTGTGCCAGTGGGCATTGGGGAAAAACTGGTTTTGCTCTCCCGGGGCTGGGGGTAGCAGGAAGTGATTAGACATGAACTTAGCCTGGCCTGCAGTTCCAGGGTTCAGTGAAGGCTACAAGAGGGAGGAGGCATCAGGGTGAACACCGGAATCATAATGGAACCTGCCTTTGGTGTTCATATTGATTGGTGACAATCCTTGCAGAGGATCTAACACTGCATCGTGGCATAATTCCCATGTAGCTCAACATAAATGCCTTAAGAATAGGCCGATATATATTGGCTAGCCCTGATTTAAGGTATTTTTGTGTTTTGCTTTGGTTTTGGTGTTTATGTCTTTCAACTTCTGCACTTTTTCATTGGGGTGGCGGGGAGCACAGCTCTGGGTCTGCACATCTCCCCCCTGGAGGACTAAGGCAGTGAGAAATCCCATAGCGCGAGGCCTGCTTTTCTGTAAGAGGACTCAGGGCTGAAGAAAGCAGACGTAGGAATGTCTAAAGTTATGTGCTTCCCTTCACTGATGTATTCCTTGTTTCCGGGGCAGGGCGACACTTCGGGGGATTACCGGAAGATTCTGCTCAAGCTCTGTGGTGGCAATGACTGAACAGTGCCTGGTGGCCATTTCTGCTCACCTCCCAGCAATAGTCATGCAAGGAAATGGCCGAAAGTAACCCCTGAGGTGTCTTAGTGTGGAGCAGCCATAGAGCCTTTACCCCATCACACACCCACCTCTCCTAGCCCACAAATCACACTGAAGGGCCTGGGTCCTTTTAGAGCTCTTTCAGGAAGCTTTTTCCTTCCCCATCCCGCACAGCCTCCTGCTGCTAAAGTAGACATTTATTCTTCTGTTTCATGCAATCATTTCTTTTACTTGTGGCTACGACTCTTGGTTTCATTTGCATTCAGTAATTTTATATTTCTATTTGGAAGCATATTTTTATACATTACTTGCCACATGATTGGCTACATCTACATTTCTGGTGAGAGATTGGCTGCACTGCCATTCCCTCCAGAAGAAATCAGAAGGAGGACTGTTAAGAGGTACTGTTTGCACCTATTGCCAAACTCACTCCTTTTTCAGAGAAGTAAGAAAGTCACCTGTCTCGTCTCCCAGCAAAACTGTCAGGAGAAAGCTAGGTTCTTGCCAGTGACAGAGATTTTTGTATTTTGGAATGTGCCTTAAATTTGAATATCTGTAGCTAAAATCTTTTTTCCCAAATTAAAGCCAGCCAACTTTGGAATGTTCCAAAATCTTTTCCTCATGCCAGTTTGTTTTCTTCTGCTTTGCGATTTCCGCCCTGTGTCTCAGGAGTTCAAAACAATTAGCCAATGAAACTCATACAACTGTAAGTAGAAATTTGTACTCAGGAACCTCTACATAAGCTCATTTACAGGGACTTGAGGTTGAAGGGCCAGGATCTTGGTCCAGTGAGGGCACAGTGAAGTCCACTGGAGGGACAGTGTACCCTTCATCCAGGTATTATAGAAGGGCATGGGGGTTGGGGGAGGGTTCCTGGCAAGGCCACAAGGCAGGGAGCAGAGAGAATAATACTGACTCAGAGAGGTATAAGGCCTCTTTGGGAACATCTGCTCTTAAGGGCAGCACCCCAGCTGTGGTCTCTGCCAGGTTCTTTGTTGTGGTGTATGTGGTGTGGCTGAGATATTTGAGAAGAAGACAGAAGAGGAAATTTCTAGGAACTCTTGTGTCATTCCCACCACTACTCAGTTTGCCGTACTGAGGTGGCTTGTGTCACTGGTATTTCAAATGCCAGCAGCGTCACCGAAGTGAACAGGTTTCAGCAGAGCATCCGGCTGAAGAACAGATCCTGAAGGAAGGACTCAGCTGGCCACTTCGGAGTAGCAGCTACTGAAAACCTATGTGTAGCTCTCCGACCCGTCGGACACTGAAGGCCTGCTCAATGGAAGCAGAACCTTGTCAGGAATCGTGCCAGGTGTGCGACTTGAGTTGGAGGGCAAAGGAGTGTGACCAAGGGACAGCTGGTTTCCTGCAGTGGCGCAGGCTATGGTAGGGTCGCTGGGGTAAAGCCTGCAGGAGGGGAGCTTTCAGATCATCATTTCCTGACAGGGCACGACTCAAGCTAAGGAGAAATAGCTGCAGAGCTCCTAATGACTGGAACTTGGAACATGCGCAGTAGGAAGCTAGGAAAATTGGAACTGGTCAAAAATGCAATGGAACACATAATGATGAATACCTACCAAGGAGCTGTGAAATTATATGAAGGGGGGAAAATACGAAAATACTCACCTAGTAGATTCCAACTCATAGTGAACGATAGTAGATCTTTCTACTATTGTAGAACTCGGAGTAGAGCTGCCTCTCTTTACATGAGTGAAAAACCTCGTCTTTCTCTTGCAGAGCAGCTGGTGGTTTTGAACTGCTGACCTAGCAGTTTGCAGCCCAATTTGTAACCACTAAGCCATCAGGGCTCCCACATGGAGAAAACCAGTCATTTAAATAGAAGGAAAGAAAAGCCAAAGGAGATGTCAAAATAGACCAAGAAAGTTGCTTTTGAACATAACAAAAAAGGAAAACTCACTACCATTGGGTAAATTCTGACTCAGTGACCCTCTAAGACAGAATGGACTGCCCCTTTGATTGTCCAAAGCTGTGAATCTTTACAGAAGCAAAATGCCTCATCTTTCTGTGGTTGAGCGGCTTTTGGTTTTAAACTGCTGTCCTTGCTGTTAGCAGCCTAATGCATGATCCACTATGGATACCAGGCCTTGCTGTAGAATATAGAATAGCTAAAATGAGCTTTGTAAATGATGGTGTAAAAGAGCTTGACAATTAAGCATTAAAATGAAATGCTCAAAGAACTGGAGTTAGAAAACTAAAAGGCAAGACCACATCCAGCATATCTCCACACACTGAAAGAACTGAAAAAACTCAAGCCTCGAGTTGTAATGTTGAAGAATTCTGTGAACCAACTGTTAAATGATGCAGGAAACTGGTCCAAAGAAGATGAAAGGAATACACAGTCACTACAGTCAAAAAGAATTGGCATTCATCCATTTCAAGAAGTAGCATATGATCAAGAATTAATTATATTAAAGAAATCCAAGGAGAGTTCTGACTCATAGTAACCCTGCCATTCATACAACGCTGCCATTCCTCTGCCATCTTCACAACTGTTAAATGACCACTGATTTGTTCTTCCTGGTGTCTTAGTCTAGTGGCGCCATTGAAACCTGTCCAATGTTGACGCTGCTGGTATTTGAAATGCAAGTGGCAGAGCTTCCAGGGTCATAACAGCAAATTACAGCACGGTGGTAATTTCTGGCAGGGTTGGGACAGTGTGCTCCAGGAAGCTGTATGTGCTCTACACCAGCATCCAATATGTGATATGGTTTCTCCAATAGCCAGGATTCACAGTTCCAGGAACCAAGGGGTAAAAATGGGAATGGCATTATTCATGTATACCCCTAGGGACTGAGTCAAAATTGTTGTGCCTTCTGTCTGCAACCCCATGTTTTGTTGGTCTAGTGGTCTTAGGTCTAAAGGAGGAATACTTCCACATGGGACTATACTGATTCTCTTGAACTGGAAATCAAGAATGTCACATGGTTGGCCTCCTAATGCTTTGGGATCAACAGGCAAATAACTTACTTTATAGGCTGATGTAATTGATCTGACTAACAAAGGGAAATTGAATTGATGCTATGTAATGGAGGGAATGAAGTACATGTCTGAAATATGGGAGATTATCTTAGTACTACCATGCCCTGTGAGGAACATCAATGGAAAACTGAAGTAACGGAATTCCAACATGATGACTAAGGACCTAAATACTTACTGTATGTAGGTTTGGGTCACCTCATTGAAGAATCATTACCAGCTGAGATCCTTGCTGATGGGAAAAGGAAGCTCTAAATAACAGCTACGATCACGTGACCAGTTGCAGAAGTGAAGATGGTTATAAGTATTTATATATGTACATCAAATATTTTTGGATTCTTCATTTATAAACCATAAAGGGGATAGTGCATTTTCAGTTGTATGAGTGTTAGGTGTCTCATGTTAGGTACAAAGATGACTTTATAATCATGTTTATTTAAAGATTATGTGTGATTTAAGGAGATGCAGATGGGTCCCAAGGGGGGGCAGTGATGACAGTTGAATGTCAATTAGGCTACACCATGATTCTCAGATAACCATCCCTCAGGATGAGGTCTGATGCAAGGTAATTATCTCTGTGATGAGATCTACTATGAGCAGCCAATCAGTTGAAAGGGAGAGTCCTTAAATTGTGACCTGCTTCCAATATACCCATATTCTGTCCAAATTTTCTGGTCTTTTGCTCAGTTGGGATCTTGCATCTGTCCCATCATCATGTGGCCTCCAGTTCTTCGGACACGAACCAGCAGTCTCACCCACCTTACCTGTTGATGTTGAGTTAATCAGACGAGCTACATAAGTCAGGTGAAGTCTCCAGACTGACATGTGAACCGCAGACTTGAGACTACCTGCCAGTCTCTAACTGTCGGAGCCATTTCCTTGAGATAAACCTTTCTCTTTTTGAAAATAAAAATTATATAACTATATATGTAATCTATACAATATATAAAATTTACATATTGTGTAGTATATAATTCTATATTATATATATTTTTTATAATATATACCTTCTCTAAATATATGTGTGTATACATCTATACATACCCACACCTATATTTATTTCACTACATTTGCTTCTCTAAAGAACCCAACATAAGACATCTGGACTTTATAAAAATTTCAAAGCTTGGAAATTGGAAGGTGGCTGCCAGCTGGCAACCACAGGAGAAATCTCTGAAAATTCTGGACCAAACCAGCAGGTAAGAGTCCTCCCTCTCTGTACCCAGGCACGTAATCTGAAAACTAAGAGCACCAAGTTTTTCTTTGATTACTTGCTTGTTACTGTGGGGGGGTTTTCCCTTTGTTTCTGGGGGAAATCAAAGTTTAAGTACACACACAGTACTTCTCTGTCCCACCATCACCATCAGTCATAGCTGGTGCCTCTGGAATACTCTTAGATACCCTCCTGATCACAAGCCCCACCCCCTTCACCTACTCAGGCTACACACATGGCTGGCACCAGCAGCACCTACATGGAGGACAGATGGTGTGCACAGCCTGGTTTCAGAATTCCTCAAAGTGCAACTAGCAAAATTTGCCATTTTGTTGGATCCCCAGCTTCCCCATCACACCCTCCCCTTGGAGCACTTCCCTTCAAACCAGGTGGGCAGATTTCCTTTAGCTCCATTTCAGGAAGCAGTAGCCCCCACTCAGACCAGGTACGTTTTCTTTTTTTAAAATATTTTATTGGGGGCTCTTGCAAATCTCATGACAATCTATCATTCAATTGTATTAAGCACACTAGTACATATGCTGACATCAACTTTTGCAAAATATTTTCTTCCTACTTGAGCCCTTGGTATCAGCTCCTCTTTCCCCACCACCTCCCATCCTCGTGAATCCTTGGTTAATTATGTATTATTATTGTTATTTCTTGTCTTACACCATCCGCTGTCTCCCTTCACCCACATTTCTTTTTTTTCCACCCACATTTCTGTTATTCATCCCCCTGGGAGGTGGGATAGATGTCCAACCTTGTGATGGGTTCCCCTTTCTTCCCTTTCTCCCCCTCCTCCCCATTCATGATATCGCTGCTCCCACTACTGTTCCTGAGGGTTTTATCTGTCCTGAATTTCATGTGTTGAGAGCTGTTATCTCTACTGATGCCGCAGTTTCTTGAGCAGCGAGAATGAACATGGAACCAAACAGACACACACACACACACAATACAGGACTGCAGCACAAAATAGACACAGACAAAGACAGTACAAACTACAGCCTTGATGGACCGCAGTACTTTCTTTTTATGTACTAAATACTGGCAGTGTTCTCACACAAGTTTGCTATTCCCACACTTGAATTTCTCATAGCCCTGAGAGTGAGTTCCGTATCTCAGCCCGTACTGCTTTTGATTTACTTTCTACCAGGAAAACACTGTTTATAGCCGAATTCCTTACCGTTTGCAGTAAGGAAGCAGTTTATGAGAACCAGCTAGGACAGGCGTTTGCGTACTGTCCTAGACAGATACATGACACGAGACAGTGCTCCTCTCATGGCTCCTTAATCTACTAATGTGGGTACTCAGGTCTAGCCGGATTTGTAAGGCAGAAATGGGGCAGGGAGGAAGCATTCAGGAACTAGAGGGATGATGGGTGTTTTGTCAATGCTATACTGCCCCCTAGTTGGA